ATCAGTGTTACTAGAGATATGAATTGATAAGGATGATATGAATGAAAAATATATTTAGGAGAAATATTCATAAATCAATGAAGTCATTTATTCCTAACCATAAACTTTTCTTATTTACTTTTCATTACTTCTCAGTAATAATAACACCATCCTTTTCATCCATCATTAGCAATATTATCTTCCAAAAATGTTTGTTTGAAGTGTAAGGATAAACATGTTTCACGTGGAAGAATCCATTACGTGATATGAGCGTCAAGAATCCATTACGTGATATGAGCGTCAAGAATCCATTACGTGATATGAGCGACACTTGATAGATCAAAGAATATTAGGAAGCGAAAAAAATTTTTGAAACAATAAAGGTAAATTTAAAAAAAAAGAAAAAAGCCGGTGAAATTATTGTAAATTAGAAAAATTTATTAATGAAAAAAAAGAGTTTGCAAAATTTTCCATTACATTGAAATCAATGCTTGTATAAATTTTAAAAAAAAAAGAAAAATAATTTATTTTAAAAATTAGTGAAAATACTAAAGTATATCATTCATGGCTATGGTATAATTCAATAATCAATTAGCTAAATGAAATGGGACAGAAGTTTGTTAGCTTATTTTCAAAACTTTGACAATTTTAATTCTGTCAATGCAGCATGTCAATAATTCAATTTCCTCCTTTCTTAATCGAATTTTGACACTATTATAATTATTATTATTTAAATTCACTTCTTTTTTATATAATAATACAGTAATATGCAAAACAAAGATACATCAAAAATGCATGTATGTTTACCTGATCAACAATGGATAATTGAAATTTTAGGTTGGTTCATTTTCAAGATCACTCACGTAATAACACAAGATAAACGTGTTTCACGTGACATATGTCCATTACAAAAATTGGACATTATCTTTTTCTTTTTTCCCGCCTTCATTCTGCCTAAAACTTAATAAAATACAACGAAATTGTTATAATAAAAAAAAAAAGAAAAAATAAATGTTATTATTCAGTTCAATTATAATAAGCTGGTTACAGTAATCGTATTATATTGATCAGTATTTTGATTACAGTGATTACATTACATTGATTATGGTAATTACAGCAATCATAATATTATACGAATAAATTAAATTATGAACAAAAAAAAGATTTCAATTTCAAAAAAAAAAAAGAAGGAAAATAACAATAATTTTATAAGATAGAATGAAGAAAGGTAAAAGAAACATTCAATGACAATTACATTTGTTAGGAAAAATAAAAAAAGATTTGGGATGAAAAGTGAAATGTAATGTTAAATGAATACAAAAAAAAAAAAAAAGGTTAACTATTATTATTCATTGTTATTTATTGATTTCAAATGACATTATCAATTGTTGTCAGAGCTTGTAAAATTTCTTTTATCATATATTTCTTCAAATGAATGTACTAACAATTTATGTGAAAAGCTTAAATGAGCAGGCGAAGAAAAAAAATAGTTAACCTTTGTATAACGAAATGACTTTTTGGAAATTAAATTCAGAAAAAAAAATTTGTATTGTATAGCTATTACAATTAATTAAGTAAATAATTGATAAAAAATGCAAAATGTGAAAATAAATATTTGATAAATTTATATGTAATATTTGATAAATGAAATATTCAAATTCAAGTATTTTGATTGTTGACAATAATTATTCAATGAAAGGATGTAATTTTTAAATCGTGAAAAAACAATTTTTTAAATTGTAAAAAAAACTTATTGACAAAGTGTAACGAAAACTGTCACAAGCCAGCCATTATTATTATTCCAATTAATTTACTAATTTATTATCGCCACTATTACTATTATTATTATTGCTATTATTATTATTATTATTATTATTATTATTATTATTATTATTATTATTATTATTATTATTATTATTATTATTATTATTATTATTATTATTATNTTATTATTATTATTATTATTA